AAATTAAGAATCAAATTAACCAAACACAATGTTTAAAAAAAAAACAACAGAAAGTACACACAAATTTTGTTAATAACAATTGTATTTGGGATAGAACTTTGACCTAAAAGTAATTACAATAACATATATCCAACAAAAGACAAAAAAAAAAAATTGAAAGTTGGTTGTCACTTATAAGGTGATGGTTTAAATAACATGTTTACGAAAATTTTGCCATCGAAAAAGGAAGATTAAATAAATAAATATAAATAACAATATATGTCAATCCATCATTATAGAATGAGATAGTTTTGCATTCGACAACTTGGTTATAAAATATTAAATTTATTGTTGAAAAAAACTTTCGTCGCAATTGTCAAAAGTTACCAAATAATTTATATCGCAAACTGAAATATATCATGTTTTTTTGGGACGAAGATTATTTGGAGCTTAATAGTTTTGTTATTACACCTCGGGTTTTAGAGCTAGAATAGAAAAAGACTTGAAAAAAAATAGAAGGGAAGAAAAAGAATGGAATATATCATATTTTTTTCCCCTTCATTTGGATGCTTGACAAATTAGAGAGAATAAAAAAAATGAAAATTATGTTATCATCAAGTATTATGTATTATCTACAAAACAAGTTTAATAAGCACATAAGAAATAAAATTAATATAAACTTTTATGCACTATATATATATGTATGTCTAGATAAATATATAAGTACGTGAATTTATATGTACATGCATATGCATATATTGGTAAAATTAAGATTCAATGTAAGCTCGTATTTTATATTTTTAATATAATTTAAATTTTTTATGGTCAAATAAAGTATAAATTTAAAAATAAATTTTATAAAATTAAGAAAATTTATTTATTACTGAATATGATAATAAAAATATTAATTATTTTTATACTAGATTGTGGATACTTCTACTTCTCTTAATAAAGATATAAATTTGAATTATCTACTGAATATTATAATTTGTATATAAGTGCGTTGTAATACCCGATTTCGAATTTTGGTCTATTATTAATTTTAAAATTAAAAAAATATATAAAAATATAATTTTTAAATTTATAAATTTTTATTTAATGTAAAATTAGAAAAAAAAAATAAGTGGATGATGAAATTGAAAATAATTTTGAGAAAAATTAGTGAAAATTTGAGTTCAATAATATTTTTGAAAGAAAAATCAGAAATTTGAGGTCAAAACGTAATTGAAAAAAAATGCGTCACGTAGGACCGCTCAGTCAGCAGTCCCGACGTACCGGAGCGAGCTGCGTGGCAAGGCACGTTGACTCGATGCCACACGGGAGGCAATGCTAGCAATCCGCGTTAGACAGTCCTGATTCGTTTCTTTCTCATGCGCGATCAAACGGTCATGATTAAATGCGATGAACGGTCCAGATTCATTCCATCTTTAAATGCGATTGTACGGTCGAGATCAAATTGCGATGAACAGTCCATATTTATTTATTTTTAAACGCGATCAGACGGTTGAGATCAAATGCGATGAACGACCCAGATTTAAGGGAGACGAATATAAATATTTCACTTCACATTGAACCCAAACCCTAGCTGCCAGCCATCAGCCGCCCGCCGGAGAAGAAAAACCAGCCACCAGATACGGGAGCCGACCGCCGCTCGTCACCGTGCCAGAGCCACTTCCAACTGCAAAAAAAAAAGGTAAAAATTATCTTATTCGCTCATAATTTAATTTTGAACAACCCCATGACTAAATTAGAACAAAATGAACGGTGGATGAGTCAAAAATTGCGGGTAAAGCCCGGCGGTGCCGCCGCGAAAAAACCAAAAATCACATTCGATGATTCCCTTCCGGTATCTCGTTTCGTATGATTTTTTCACCATTGTGTTTACCATTCTATTTTCTACAGGTTGACCAAAGAAAACGCTCAGTCACGAAGGTGAGCCAGCGGAGCCGCCGCACAAGAAAATTTCGCAATTGATAAGTTTTTATTTTTTGACTTTTTTCGGCCAACCGAAATTTCTTAACGTGTTTTCTTGCAATGATGGGTATAAAACCGGTCGAAACTAGTCAAAACTGGTCGAAAATGGTCAGTTCAAGGCAAACCACTGGTGCGGGAGCACGGCGGTGCCACCGTGTCGGAATTCTGAAATTAGCTAAAAAAAATTTTTAACACCGATTTTGAATTTTTTAGGGTATTTTTAGGTACGTGAAGCGTATTTTTACTTCCACAAAAAAATTCAAAAAATCAAAGGACCGTCAGTAGGTGCAGTAGAAAGTTTAGTGTTTTAGATATCGATTCGGGTAAAAACTCCTCACTTTATTTCATATTATAGAATTGAAGTATAACTATCAATAATACAGTATTTTGCGTAATTTAGAAAGTTTCGAGAATTAATTATAGATTAATAATGAAGTTATAATCGGTTATTTATTATTGTTGTCATGTTTAACCGATTGTTTGATTTTACAGTTTTAAATGTATAATAATATACTGGAATTGGTAAAATGATTTAGTTGTGTTTTCTTGATGCATATATTATTTGTCTTACATTGATTTACAGTTAAATTGAGAAACTAAAAATTAAAGGTAAACAAAAAATTGATTGGTTAAGTGAATGAATGAATGGTAGACTTACTGGATATCCTAGGAGATGGTGGACGGACCAGGTACATAGAGAACTCTACCGTGAACGTCGCCTGATACCGGATAGGGTATCAAAGATTAGTATTTTTGGCGCTCATACCGGACGTGGTATATGGATGACTCATTTCACCTTCATATCGAACGGGGTATTGAGAGATGATATTTTTGGCGTTCATACCATACGAAGTATGGAGACGGTCGGTTAGTTGACAAGGTTGGATATTGGTTCACGCGTAGTGAGACATTTTCTTTGGACTCTCATGGATACTAGTAGACAAATAAAAATGAAAAATTGTTATTTTTACTTACTTGAATATGAGATTATGATGTTGTTGAACTATTGTCTCTATAGGTTGATTTTGAAAATCTCGCAATTATAGGTATACAATAAATAATTTTACTTATAATAAATGAATTTACTTTAATTAAGAGTTATATTAGTTATTTTTATAATTTTTATCAACCTTCATTTCTGTATCGGTGAGTAGTATAATATTCTTACTGGGATAATGTAGCTGACCATTTCATTAACCATTTCAGATTAAGAGAACTAAGATTCAGATCCTGATCAATGAGGGAATTGTGAATATTTCACAAACCGGACTCCCTTGAAAGGCTAGTGAAGGTCGTCTTAGGATATCTAATTGTTTACTTTTCATTTATTTATTAATTTTTCGCTTGTTCTTTTAGAATTATTATTTTCGTAACCCTATTGAGTATTCTAAATTATTTTGTAAGGAATGTAAATTCTAACTTTATTATTTCGCTTCCGCATTCAATTCACGTCTTTATCTCCCTTTCTTCAGAATATAAACTCTAAATTTTATTGTTTCGTTTCTGCATTTAATTTATATATTTATCTCATTTTCAATTTCGGGTGTAATATGTTTACCATGAAATATATTTTTTATAATTTTTTTTTAAGAATATGTTCTTCTTCCTTTATATCCTGAAATATTTTTTCATTTAGAATTTATTAAGTTATAATATTTGAATACATTAAATAATTATTTTATTTTATTTTTATATTAAATTTAGTATACAATTAGTAGATACATAATATTACATTTTCTTAAATAGCTAATTTAATTAACATAATTACAGTAAAAACAATTATAGTCCTAACTTTGAATCTGAAATAATTAAAAAATTAAATTATCTTAAACAGTACTGATGATATTATAATATCCTTAATTAAATATGTAACATGTTTTTAAAAAAAATTTTCAAAAAATGACAAATTATTAGTAGCCTGTAAATTTTAACAAATACATTCACGGTACAAAATACTAAATTTGTCAAATCGGGTGACAAACTTTTTTTTTCCTTCGCTAAAAAATAAAACTCTTAAATCTCCAAATTCCCAAAATACGAACATCTCTAAACTCAATAAATCTTCAAAGTGATAAGGATAACATAAAACATCATCATTATGTATTCAATTACGACATTTAAGAGATTGCTAAGTCAATAACCATATGTTTAACAAAGTGTAATAGACCACTTTAATATATTAACCATGTCAAATTCCACTTGTCCGTGAATTAAATTATGAAAAAAGAGGTAAAGTGAATTCATGGAATACGAATTATGTGAATTGACTCTAAACTAAAAGACATATAATATGAGGTTTGTGGCTAATATACGAGTGTTTGAATATTTACATATAGTTTTTTTTTTTTTTTTTCATAGAAGATACAATATAGAATTTTAGTAGGTAACATTTTAATTTAAATTTTTTTGTACTCTTTCACAGTGGTAATGTCAAATAAGATAAATGAACAAATAAATAATTATAAATTAACGTTGATATTTGATTTAAATATATAGTATAAGAAAATGAGACTCTTATATAAAATCCATAAAAAATTGAATATAAAATTTTATTTCTTTTGTTCTCTCTTTAATATTAAATAGAAGAGAGTTTGATTAATATATGTAATCTAGTTTAGTTTGTGAAAAATTTGAAACAAAATTATTTCAGTTTATTTTTTCAATAATAATTTTTTTTTTCATAATATTCAATTTCTTGCTTATTATTTTACTTATTTACATATTATTATTGATGAAAATATTGAATTTCTTAAACAATATGGTGAATGAGTAATTTTATTAAACTCGTTTTTATTTAAAATTCTTCAAACAAGCTTTAAGCAAAATTTAAAATTTTTATTTCTCAATAGTATTGAACTTTTGAAAAACATTAAAAAATTTAAAAATTAATTTATAATAAAAAAATAATTACAACTTACAATAAAAAATAGAATAAAATTTAGGAACTAAATTTAAATATAAATTATAAGAAAATAGAAAAATGTTTATTTATTTTTTATTTTTTATTTTGAGCTTTGGAAGTGCTTATATTTTTCAGTTCTCTATCTCGTTCAGTTGTCGTTCTTTTTCTCGGTCTGGCAGCTGCCAAAACCCTAGTATTTCTGACAGTGAACTGGAAACATCTCTCTAAATGCCTCATCGTTAATCTTCATTAACATCGTCTGAACGCTAATATTATTTTTCGGATCCTTCTATCCGGATCTTCGACATGGCGGCTTCACTTGAATCTCTCATTTCACTTGCCGGCTCAGTCACTACCTCTTCCACCAAAACCCGGCTAAGGATCTTCGGCAATGATGTCCCTTCTCTTCTCAACGATTCAGGCAAGTGATTTTAGTCTTTTTGGTTTGTTTAATTTAATCTCATTCGATAAATTTTGAACTTTCATCTCATATATTTATGTAATAAAGCTTACTTACGTTTTCTATTAGGATCAAGTTTGAATTTTGACTGGCTTAATATGATAAAGTTTCTTAACATTTCAGTGGTGTTTCTTATGAAATTCCAAGTTTAACGGCTTCAATGTGAATTTTATTAGTTTTCTAACACTATAACTTTTTATAAAAATCAGAGCAAAAACAAGAAATGAACTTCAAATAAACTGAAGTAAGAACACTTCATATATTTTTATAATTAATGTATTGTTGAATGTGGAATGGCCTTGGCGTTCAATATGCTCCCAGTTTATTGTTGAATGGAGGATGTGGAATGTAGACAACAATGTGGAATGGAATTTGCATAGAAATCTTTCGCTTACTTCAAGCCTATTCTGTTCCTACTCTGTTTTTAAATCTCAATTATTTAGTGTATAGAGAGATAATTAAAAGCTAGTCGTGATTTACCTTTTTAATACATAATGGGATCAATCCGATTTATACCCTCAATTCCACAATTATAGAATAATTTTCATATGTCAAGAAAGGAATTATGGAAACAACTTGAATTAGATATGATTTTAAAATTTGACATTATTTCTGTACAGTGCATAACCTCTGAAGTTCAATTATGTGAACAAAGAAAGATGATAAGATTTTTTTGCTTTAGTATTATTTGGACTTTTCAGTGACTGATTTATCTCAAAATAAAAAAAAACTTTTAAGTGATTGATGCTGAACTTTGGTGAAGAAATTGAAACAAGTAACCCACTTGGCTTTTTATGCTTGGCTATAATTTGGAGAACTTTTAAACTTGGAACTTTTAGTCATAAAAAATGGTACATAGAGTTTATGGTTCAGAATGCTGCCCGCTGGCGTAGAATTGATTCAATTAAGCACCTAAGTGATAGAATTTCAGAGGAGCTGCTGTAGCAGTGGTAGTATGGCCGACTTCCATTTATTAGTGACAATGAGGATGCATAAATGACTGACTTATTCTCCTTAGCTTTCTCTGGCTAATCATAAGTTGCATTTTTATCAGTAACATAACCTTTTCTTTTTGAAATATGTGCTTAATGCTTCTAGGTTCTCAGATAAATGAAAGCTACTGGTTAGTTAATCTCTTTTAGTCTGCTTGTATATTGTGTCACATATGTTGCTTTACGCTAAGTTATATAATCTGTTCTAATATATAAAACAATGACCTTTGTATCTCTGCAGAAATGAGTTCTGAATTTGCATCACTTCTGGTGGATACAATTTTTAAAACATAGGCTATATATGACGATGGGGGTTCAAGTAAAGCAGTTGATAATATGATTGTGAAGGCCCTTGGTGAGGTGACACTTATGAAGAGTTTTGCTGCAGTTCTTGTTCAGACTATGGAAAAGCAGTCGAAGTTCCAGTCACATATAGGCTGCTATAGACTCCTCAAATGGTCATGCCTCCTTTTGGGCAAGAGTCAGTTTGTCAGCCTTTCAAAGAATGCATTGTGTAGGGTTGCTGCAGTGCAAGCATCTTTACTTAATACTGTTATGCAAAGATCTTTTCGTGAGAAAAGTGCAGGCAGACAAATTTTTTTCCATTTATTTTCTCAGGTTGGTCTGAACATCTTTTCTAATTGTTTTGGAGTCTTGGGAATTATTTCAAATGGAAGTTTTTAAATATTTTATGTTTCTTGTTTTTACAGTCTCCAGATATATACAGAATGTATATAGAGGAATTAAAAGACTCAAGGATTTCATACAAAGATACTCCTGAATTGATGTGGTTATTACTTGATTTCTCCTGTTCATCACCTACATTGTTTCAACAATACAAGGTGAGAAATGTTTTTTGTTTCTTTCATTTTGTTTGGAAGATACTCCTGTATTATGAGTTCTATTGTTTTCTTTTATATTTACCTTCACTCTACGGACTTTATTCTTCTCAAAGTCTTGACATGATTATTTCTTTGACAGCCTATTTTTCTTGATATGTATGTGAAATCGGTCTTAAATGCCAGAGAAAAGCCAAAGAAGCAACTTAGTGAAGCTTTTGATCCACTTTTTACCCATATGTTGCATGAAGATTTTCAAAGTGTTGTTTTTCCAGCATCTGTTAAAATGTTGAGACGCAACCCTGAGATTGTGCTAGAATCAGTGGGAATTCTTTTAAGGTCTATCAACCTTGATTTGAGTAAGTATGCAAGTGAACTCCTGTCTATAGTATTACCGCAAGCTCGGCATGCAGACGAAGACAGAAGGATTGTAGCATTGACTATAGTAGGGTGTCTGAGCAAAAAGTCGAGTAACCCTGATGCTTTAGAAGCAATGTTTGGAGCTATTAAAGCTGTAATTGGAGGTTTGTCCTTGCTCATTTCCCTTCTTATGTTGTTGTTTTTTTCGTTTCAGTGATAGAAGTGTTCTTACTGATGTTTGTGGTGAGAAAGATTAATCTGAGATCCTCATTATTATCTTATCTTGTGCTAAACTTTCTATAGCTTAAAGAAATTAATGCAATCAGGTTCAGAAGGAAGGCTTGCATTTCCTTACCAGAGAATTGGCATGATCAGTTCATTGCAAGAATTGTCCAACGCTCCTGAAGGGAAATATCTAAACAGCATCTCATGTACAATATGTGGGTTTCTTTTATCTTGTTACAAAGACGAAGGTAAGCTGGTGTGCTTGGCCTGCATCGATCATCATCTTGTGATCATTGTCATTGATCTTTTTTTTTTTGGAATAAAAAGATACTATGTACCATTAATTACAAGCATCAAAGGGGGTGCCCACCCATGATTATTTTCATACCTTCTGTTTTTGACTAGGCATATATTATTTTTCTTCGTTATGTACTGCACCTTCTTTTTGTTATTGCTGCTGTTGTCATTTCTTTGTTAGATTTTATTTTCTAGGCATTGGATTTTATTACTTTATTATTTCAAAAAAATGAATTTTATTATTTTGTGACTTTGTAGACACTGCATTTTGCATCTGGTTGTTCTTTTTTATGTTATGTTTAAGTTTCTTGTTTACCTTTTGAGGTCCTGATTTCTCTCTAATACCAGGAAATGAGGAGGTAAAACTAGCAATCTTAATAGCTATAGCGTCGTGGGCAGCAAGATCTGTTGATACCGTCCAGTCAAATTTAATTTCTTTCATCACCTCTGGCCTTAAGGAGAAGGAAGCTTTAAGAAGGGGGCATCTTCGCACTCTTCGTGCCATATGTAAAAATGGTGAAGCTGTTTTACAGGTTTGTTTCCTGACTAAAGTTGTTTTTCTATGCTTTTAGGAATTGATTCTTGTCTTGGCTGTTCTTATCATTGCTAATGGGTATCTCCTAATTTATACCCAGATGTCATCGTTGCTAGGCTCTCTTGTTCAACTTGTAAAAACTGGTTTTACCAAAGCAGTTCAGCGATTGGATGGCATGTATGCTTTGCTTATAGTTGCTAAGATTGCAGCATCTGACATTAAAGCAGGTATGAAAATATTTGGGATGTCTACTGTCCCTACTTAAAAAACATCATACATTATAATTCATGTTTTTTCCTCATATTTTGTGTTGATTTTTCCTGTGTTTGCAATTGCAGAGGAGATTGTGGCGAAAGAGAAGATTTGGTCCTTAATATCTGAAAATGAGCCATCACTAGTACCACAGACTCTGGTAATTATTCTCTGAAACCTTGTCCAAAATAAGATGATTTATTTAGTTTGTGGTCTACTCACTTGTCTTTATTTTCAAATCTTACTCTTAAGGTGTCAAAAATGTCAATAGAAGATTCTATGGCATGTGTTGAGCTTCTTGAAGTTCTACTGGTGGAACATTCTCGCAGGTCCATATTATTTATATTTACTTGTTATCCAACTTTATCCTCGTCATTAAAATTCTAAAGTATCTTTGCTGTTTGTTCAACAGAGTGTTGGAAACATTTTCAGTCAAATTACTCATGCAGGTAAGTTAGTGCACTGTAGTTAATTATTTTTTTTGGAATAAAATGCACTGTAGTTAATTATCTTCTCAGTGCGATGCCGATATCCTATTGTTATTTGGATGCAGTTGCTACTATCTTTAATATGCCATCCAAGCTGGACTGTTCGTAAAACAGCTTATGATGCCACCAAGAAGATTGTTGGTGCTGCTCCCCAGTTGTCTGAGTTCTTTTATGAGTATAAGAGTTTTCTTTCATA